GCATCATTGGCCTTTCCTTTGTGATGTTATTTGGTGATCTGTTAATGCTTATATTATAGTGGTGGTGGTGGTGGTGGTGGTGGTAGTAGTAGTAGTAACAACATCCAAGAGTACTTAATATAGTTTTAATTTAGGAATAAAATGGGTGTTTGGGAGATGATTGCTGCTTCTCTATAATGTGGTTTTTATTGTAGTGGTGGTTGTTCAGTCATTTTCAGTCATGTCTGACTCTTCATGACCCCGTTTGGGGTTTTCTTGGCAAAGATACTGCAGTGGTTTGCCATTTCCTTCTCCAGCTTATTTTACAGATGAGACAACTAAGGCAAAGAGGATTAAGTGACTTGCCCAGGGTCACACAGCTAGTAAGTGACTGAGGCTGGATTTGAACTCAGAAAGATGAGTCTTCCTGATTCCAGGCCTAGCACTCTATCCTTTGTGCCACTGTGTGCTAGTTAATGACAACCTCTAAACCTGATCTTGAGCCAGAGCCAAAGAGGGAAATAGATATATGATATAATCAGTCAACAAGCATTTATTAAGCACGTTTTATGTGCTAGGCCCTGTTTCTGAGTGCTGGGAATGCAAATACAAGCAGAAAGAAAGACTGTACCTACCCTTAAGGAGCTAATTTTCTTATAGGTAAAGAGGGGAAAAGGAAGCTGAAGGGGGGGAAAGGAAGGGAGTTGCAGCTCTAGAGTAATGGTGTAGAAAGTCTGGAATGCAGTCTGTCAAGGAATAAGATGTGGTAGCCTGGGTGGCCTTGAATAGAGGTTCTGGAAGGGCCATCCAGTCAGAGGAAGAGGCTATAGGTGTTGGAGGGTACTTCCGGTGTGTCCATTGCAAAACAGGTATCAGCTTTCAGGATGAAGAAGTTGCTGGGTCATTGTGGAAGAAGTGCAAAGTACAGTCATGTGTATATAGTGCATGTGTGTATATATTTACTTATGCCTTCTAGATACATGCATTTCTGATTCAACAACAGCTCCTCCTAGGTCTGGAGAATAATAGATCTGGAAAGAACATTGACTGTCATCTGATCCTCTATCGTCCCTTGCGCTCCATCTCCAGACAAGGAAGCTGAGCCCCAGAGAGGTGGAGTGACCTGATATTGTCTAGGTTGCTAATTAGTGGCAGAGGTGGAACCAGAACCCTCACTGAACTCTGAGTCTTCTGTGTGTGAAGTGAAGTGTCTTGCTCCCGAATTTGAAGAACTGGCTCTTGCTTTTCCTCCCTAGTATTTGGGTCATGGAAGCAGCCTGGTGTATATAGCCCAATGGTTCTCAAACTTTTTGGGCTTAGGCCCTTTGCATATACTGTAGATTATTGGGGAACTCAAAGAGCTTTTGTTTATATGGGTAATATCTATTGATATATTAGAAAGTCAACATCTGATTATTATGAAAATAGTTTTGACCCTCTGGACCATCTAAAAGGGTGTTGGGGTCCCCAGGTATCCCTGCACCAAGCTTGGAGAACCACTGGTATAGTGGATAGATAGAGGACTGCTCTGGGACCCACCAAGAACTGCATTCACATCCTGCCTGCGACGCATCCTGACTGTGTGACCCTGGGCAAGTCACAGCCTGTCAGTGCTCTAGGTGACGTTCTCTACATCACCCACCTGCACTGATAGAGAGGGAGTTCTCTCATCTGGAGTTCTCGATATCAAAGAAGACACAGGTCTAGTCTCTATATTTCATGAGGCTAGAGTTATCAATTCTTCGTTGCTCACGTTTGGAGACCACCTCTTGCCTGATATGTGGGATGGAATATAGAAGGGGAATCAAGTTGATGTCATTATTCTCATTCACTACATCTCCTTTAAAGAGGAACTTTTTAAGATCCTATATTGAATCGGCAACTGAGTGAGGAAGGTGAATAGCAATCAGCACTTCACCTTACAGGCCTAAGATGTTATAAATTCATGGTGTAGATACAATGTTTAAGATGTGTTTGTAGTGCCGACATGTAAATAGCTAGATCAACATGTCTCATAAGCCTTTTTTGCATTTATCTGTTGGATGGGAAGAGAAGGAAAGTGGTAGAGTGACTTATAAAGGAACTTCTGATCTTAACTGGGGAAGGGGGACAGTATATGAAAAAATTACATGTGCAAATTACTGTAAGTAGATACTAATGATTTTGATTACTGAGAAATGGACTGACTGTATCAGTGGAGGAAAATCTCGATTTCAGTTTCTTAGTTGACATTCTCACCATCTGTGTTTACTCTTACTCTAAATTACATACTGTAACCTGAAGCCCAGGAAGAGCTGAAAGGAGGTTTGAGGTTCCCTACTTTTAATCTAAAATGATTAATTACCACTGATATCCCTGGAAGAGCCATGAACCAGACAGCAAGGAAGTTCAGAGAAAAGTTTCTATGGAGGCTCATGCTGTGAAGATGATTTGGCAACCCCTGGTTGTCCTTTGAGAGTGTTTGTGTGTGTGTTTGTGTGTGTGAGTGTGGGTGTATGTATAGGGTATATGTGTGTGTGTGTGTGTGTGTATGTGTAAGGGTGTGCGGTATGTGTCTCAATGATTAAAAGTTTGAGGGGGGGTTCCCCCTAGATATTTTTCCACATGAGCATACTTCTTTATCAGTATTGGGTTTGGTGTGTATGTCTGTAGATATGAATTTATATCTGTTTAGTTGAGAATGAGTGTAGGAAGAAGAGATGAAGTATCCCAGAGCAATGGCTCTCCAGTCAGAAGACCTGGGTTCAAACACCACTTCTGCCACTACCCGTGGAGCCAGGAGCAAATCATTTAACCTGACTAGGCCTCAGTTTCCTCATCTCTAAAATGGAGGTGGTAGAATAGATGTCCTCCGTAGTTCCCTTCCAGACCCAATAATCAGTCATCCTGTGTCTGTGTCTACACTTCCCATGATTGATTGATTCCTTCCTTCCTTCCTTCCTTCCTTCCTTCCTTCCTTCCTTCCTGCCTTCCATCCTAAATTGGTGTTCAGTGACTTGCCCAGGGTCACACAGCTAGTAAGTGTCTGAGGCCAGATATGAACTCTGGTCCTTTTGACTACAGAGCAAGGGTGCTCTATCCATTGTGCCACCTAGTTTCTCCCAATGATTTCTTGAATAAGCTTCCAGGCTAACTTTAATTCCTGTAATCTGCCTTTCTAGAGGTAGTTTAATTTCTCCACTGTGGCTTCTTTACCTGGGGAAATTTATTCTTCGTCTCCTGATTTCTCCCCTCTCTTTTAGGAGTAGGAATTCCCTATGCTCCAGATGGTTGGTTACCTTTCCCTTCTGTCTTATGCTCTGCTGGCTTTTCTCCCTAACCATGTGTGAAGAGAAACAGCAGTCACTGATTCTCAAAGGAAATTCTGAGCCTATTGAAATGTGAATTCAGTTCAACAAGAAGACTTTTAAATTGTCTTACGTTGTTGTTTATGTGCATTTTATGCGTGTTTTTTACACTTGTTTATTTAATGTGTTTATATTTATGCATTTATCTTTAAGCATATTTTCTATGTGCTAGCTACTAGGGATGTAAAGATGGAAATAAACAGTTCCTGCCCTCAGGGAGCTTACTAGAGAGAGAGAGACCAGGAATAGAGAAAACTAAATATGAAATATAGACCAAAAACCCCCCACAATTTGGGCAGATGGAGCACAATAGGGGCAGGGGGATCAGGAAAGACTTCTTGGTCTTAGATAGAGAGCATTCCACACATGAGCAGCAGCCTGTGCAAGGACTTGGAGACCAGTGTTTTGAATGGTCTACAGAAAGTAGACTTGTTTGTCGGAAACTCCATATGTGTGTGTGTGGGGGGGGCGCAACTGTGACATGTAATCCTCCTAGGGCCAGATTGTGAAGGACTTTAACAGATGGCACAGTGGACAGAGTGTTGTCCTTCTGGTCAAGAAGACAGGAATTTAAATCCTGCCTCAGTCACATCCGACTTGTATTACCCTGGGCAAGTCCCTTAACTCTCTCAGCCTCAATGTCCTCATCTGTGAAATGGGGATAATAATAGCACCTATCTCCCAAGGTGGTTGTTAGGATAAAAAAAAGGTGATATATGTAAAATGCTTTGCCAACCTCACGATACTAGTAAATACTAGCTATTGTTGTTTTTGTTATTAACCAACTACAGAAATTTATTTTATCTTGGAAGAACTAGAGAACTACTGAAGTTTTATCAGCAAGGCAGTAATAGAGCCAGACCTGTGCTTCAGATATATTAATTGGGTGACTTTGGAGAGTGGCTTGGAAAGGAGAGACCAAACAACAGGAAACTGATTAGGAGGCAAAAGCGATAGTCAAGATGAGAACCGTGTGAATTTGGGCAGAGGACATGTAGAGAGATGTGGTAGTACAGAATCAATAATACTTAGCAACTGGACATACGGGGAAGTGAGAGAGAGCCAGGGAGACCACCTAGTTTGCAAACCTGAGTGATTAGAATAAGAGTACTTATCCTGGGGTCCATGGCTAGAATTCAAGTAGTCCATGAACTTGAATGGGAGAAAAAAAAATTATATCTTTAGTTTCACTAACCTGGAACTAAAATTTAGCATTTCCTTCAAATATAATTTTTCTTTTTTTAATTTATTTTTAGTTTTCAACAATCACTTCCATATACTTTTGAGTTTTAAATTAAAAAAAATATTTTGCCAATGGGTCCGTGAGCTTCTTGAGGCCAATGCCAAAGTAATTTATGCTATCGAGGAAAAAAAAAAAAACCCTGGTGTTCCTCAAAAGAAATACTGGTTAGGAGGAGGAGTGGGTTTTTTGGTGAATAAGGTAATGAACTCTCTTTTGGATATGTTGAGTCTGATATGCCTAAGAGATATCCTGGTGGAAATGTCCAGAAGACAGTTGGAGATAGAGGACTGTAGCTCAGGAGGAAAGGTACCAGGTAAGAGATAGTCCCTGGTATCCGTGGGCATGACATGAGAGAAATAATCATATGTGAAAGAAATAACATTTATCTATTCCAGCTAACTCTTCCTTTTTCTTTGACATCTTTACTGCAGGTTTGAAAAAGGACGCATCTACACATTTATTGGAGAAGTCGTTGTTTCTGTGAACCCATATAAATCCTTGAACATCTATGGAAGAGACACAATTGAGCAGTATAAAGGGCGTGAGCTCTATGAAAGGCCACCTCATCTTTTTGCTATTGCTGATGCTGCTTACAAAGCGATGAAGAGGCGATCAAAAGACACCTGTATTGTGATATCTGGTATGCTGGAGAGGGCCACTTGCCTCTCATATTTCTTTGTGCTCATACGTGTATGTTTATACAAGTGGAATCCATGTGGATTCCATTTTATTTTATGATTTTTTTATCACTATTATTATACATCAAGGGTTCTTAACCTGAGGTTTGTGACTCTTTCATGTATTTTGATAACTATTTCAATAGAATTGGTTTCCTTTAAAATCCCATATATTTCATTTTATATATTTAAAATATTATTCTGAGAAGGGTCCATGAGCTTCACTAGAAGAGGTCCATGATGCACACAAAAAGGTTACAAAGCCTTGTTTTACATAAACATTTATGTCTACACACTTAACATTTCTGATGGTTACATTGGTTCTGTTGTGTTTGTAGATCATGACCATTCCCCCCCCCTCCCGTTTTTGGCATTGGGTTGTGTTTAACATTTTGGTGCAGATTACTTTCTTTCTTTTGAGTGGTTTCTTCATGCTATGTTCCCCAAAGTAGGATCACTAAGCTAAGTGGTGTGAACAGCTTCATAGAAATTGTTATTGCTAGAAAGAGGAAACTCATCAAAGACTTAAGTGGGCCAGTGCAGAACTGGCCTTAGAAGTGGGGGGAGGTAGGGTGGAAAACAAACAAGCGAGTGAACGAATGAATGAATGAATAAACACATATACACATATATGTTTTATATATAATAATATATTATACATACCCACATTTCTATATACAGACATATATGCAACATGTATACACATGTATGTGTGCATACATAACACCTGTAACAAATTAAACAGAATAAGAAAAACTAAGAAGAGATGACAAGAGGTACATCCGTCTATCCCTTTATTGGTGAAGTAGGGGATTATGGGTACGGCATGTTGAACATGCTGTCAGGCATAGTTAATGCATTGATTTTGTGGAACTATTTTTTATTTATTTTGTATCTTTGCATCTCACTGGATAGAGGACAAGAGGAAGGTTGTGTCAGGAAATCAATGAGATGTAAAAACAAAAAGCACCAATAAAACTTTTTTTTTAAGATAAGAACCACATACAGAGGAATTGGTTAAATCTGACATCCCATTGGAAGGCTATCAATAAATATGTAAATTATTATGCAGGCACAAAATAAATGGGAATGCTTTATTGAGTACTATCCTGCCATCTCACCAACTTCCTGTTAAGGAGGTGGACCTAGCCAAAGAAAACCTTTACTCTATAAACTAAGGAATCCCAAAATGTCTTTACTGACCCCATTTGCCTTCATTCAGTAATGGCTGCCTACTTTTAGCTGATGTTTGTCTAGTGGTATACTCATTGCTCTAAAACGATAAAAGAAGTCCAAAACTAATCCCTTTCTGTAGGCCCTTGCTGTACAGAAATCTTGGTCATACTTACATACTTTTTCTTGTATGAAGTTGCCATATTTTTGACTAACCGATTTGGGACAAGAAGGGCAGTAAAGTTAGAGATGGAAGAAGCTTCTGCCTTCTTCATAGGCCTCCAGATTGAGCCATATGGCTGTTGCCTCTGGGGAGAGACACAGTTTGAATGAAAAGCTTAATTCTTTTATCGTTTGTTGTTCAGTCATTTTCAGTTGTGTCCAACTCTTTGTGACCGCATTTGGGGTTTTCTTGGCAGAGATACTGGAGTGGTTTGCAGTTTACTTCTCTAGCTCTTTTTACACATGAGGAAACTGAGGCAAACAAGGTTAAGTGACTTGCCCAGGATCACAGAGCTATTATATGTTTGAGGCCAGATTTGAATTCAGGAAGGACAGTCTTCCTTACTCTAGGCCTGGCGCTCTGTGGCACTATGCCACCTAGCTGCCCCCTTTTCCCATCATCATAGCCCTAAAAAGGGCTGTAGTTGCGGGGAAGGTACTCTGAAGAATCCTGGTCTATGACATTCTCATGTTCCCATATCAATGCATTTTGTTGTTATATCACATTTATTTTCAAATATATTCCTTCCTCCACTCCAGCCCAATAACCCATCTCTTGTAACTAAGGATTTTTAAAAAGGGGGAGGGGGTTGGGGAGAAGGAATATAGCTCAGCCAAGCCAATAAGCATATCAGCTGCATCTGACCCAGTTATCTCTGGGCACCCAGGTCATGTCTTCCTTTCTCCCAGAGTTCACTGCCAAGCTTAGTTTTCATTTCCATCCCAATCCCTGCCTTCCTACTGGGAGTCTTGAGCATTTCTATGGATGTTTCCTCAATCTTCAAGCTCCTCCATATCCTCAGCCCCTCTGACCTATTTCTTCGCTCACTCCAAGACGCTCAAAGAGACCATCATGCCTTTGAGCTCATGATCACCCACTACTATTTTACTTGCCTGGTTGAGAATTCTGAAATGCCTCTATTTGACCATGACTTCTATCATTCCACCTCTCCTTGTGCTTCAGCCCTCCTGTTCCTTCTGTCCATTTTCATTGTGCCCTCTAGTGTCCACTTGTCAGCAGTCTCCCTGGATATCACTCTTATCTTGGCCATACTTTTCTCCCTTCTCAGTCTCAACCTTGTAGTTAACCAGTTCAGAATGGTACTGTCTTCCTCTCTCAAATCCCTCTCCTCCTTGTCCTGTTGCTGCTCATACCTTGCCAAACACCATACTGAATTATTCTTCTTGTGTGCCTCCTCCACTCCTCATATGCCACCAAATGGGGCTAGAGGAAGTCACACAATGCTGTAGACTGAGTCCATTAAGATCTGTGCTATCTAATCTCAACGGGGGCCTCACACAGCAAGACAGTCCTTTTAGTCCTCTCTAAATCATTCTCTATCTCATTCCCCATAGAAATTATTTCATATTTTTCTATCTCATTCTCATCTCTATCTCTATTCTATCTCTATCTCATTCCCAATAATTATTTCATATCTTCTTTTCTTCTTTTCTCAAGCTCCCCATAGCACTCCCTCCCTCTTAGCAGAGACCTTGCTTCATACATTACCAAAAAAATTAAGACCATTTCCCAGTGAGGTCCCATTTCTCCTTTTCTCTATATCTCAAAGCCATGTGTCTTCACTTTTTGTGCCTTCGCCCTTAACTTCTGATAAAGAAGTGGCATTTTTTTTCACCATGATCAGTTCTCTGTCTATCTATCTACCTGTCTGTCTGTAAATCAATCAATCTATCTATCTATCTATCTATCTATCTATCTATCTATCTATCTATCTATCTATCTATCTATCATCTATATTTAGATAGATACAGATAAGGGATGAGATAAAGGATATCTCTCTCCATATCTATATCTAGATACATAGATAAATAGATAGATCCATCCTTTATCCCATCCCCTCCAATTTCCTCCGTATTGTCACCACCCCTCTGGCCAATCTTTAATCTGTTGTTTTTTTTATAGACTACCTTCCTGGTACTTATAAACATGCCCAAATCTTCCCCATCTTAAAAAAAGAAAAAAAAACCCTCATTTGACATTACCATCCTTTCAAGCTATCATCCTATATCTCCCTTCTCTTTCACATCCAAACTCCTAGAAAAAGCTTTCTTTTCTTAATGTTTCATTTCCTTTCTTCTTAACCCTTTGCATGTGATTTCTTACCTCATCGCTCAACTGAAACATTTCTCTCTGAAGTTATGTTCTCATGGTTTTTCCTTAATCTTTATCCTCCTTGACTTCTCTGTAGCATTTAATGCCACTTACCACCCTCTCATCCTTGATAACCCATTCTCTTTAGATCTTCATACAACTGCTTTCTCTTGGGTCTCTTCTCTGACTGGCCATTCCTCCTCAGTCTCCTTTGCTGGATCATCATTCACGTCATGCCCCCTAATTGTGCATGTCCCCCAAAGCTCTGTCCTCAGTCCTTTTCTCAGCATATGCTTTGTCTCTTAGTGACCTCATCAAATCCTGTGGGTTTAACTATCATTTCTATGCAGATAACTTCTCAGATCTATATATCCAGCCCTAACCTCTGACCTGAGCTCTCGAGTCTCACATAACCAACTGCCTATTGGATATTTCCAACAGGGTTTCTTATAAGTATCTCCAACTCAACATGTTAAAAAAATGCATTATCTCTACACACCCACACTCTATACCCTCCCCTTGTTCAAAAGTCTCTGTTACTGAGATAGATTCAACAAGATTTGGTAACTGATTAGATAAATGTGGGGTGAGGAAGAATGACCAGTGAGGATTATTCCTGGCCTGCAAACCTGGATGACTAGAAGGATGTTGGTGAGAAATAAAGTTACCAAATCCTGTTGAATCTACCTCCACAATTTTTCTTTTATCCATCCTCATATCACCACTTATATGCTTACAGTCTTCATTCAGACTCATCACATCTCACCTGTTTGATGGCAATATTCTCCCAATTTGTCTCCCTGTCCCAAGTTTCTCCCCTAATCCATCCTCCCCACAAATGCCAAAGTGATTTTCCTAAATGACAGGTCTGATCAGGTCACTCCCCTGCTCAATAAATTCTTCTGACTCTGCATTACTTTGCTTTAGTATCAATTACAGGTTCCCCTGTTTGGCTTTTCAAGCCTGTTACAGACTGACTCTAGACTACATTTCCAGGCTTATAATACACCATTATCCTTTAAATACTCCGTGAATCAACTAAACTGGCCTTCCTGCTGTTTCACACACATGACACTCCAGTTTCCAACTACAAGCCTTTGAACAGGCTCCCCATGCATTTCTTCCTTGCTTTGGCCTCTTAGAATCATTAAGCTTCTTCAAAACTCGGCTCGAGTGCTAGTTCCTATATAAGGCCCTTCCCGGTCCCCGCAGTTGCTAGATTCTTTCCTGCTCAAATGATCTTGTATTTTTTCTTCATATATGCTACATATAATTTAGCTGTCTTTCCCAATACAACATAACCTTCTTGAGCACAGAGACCATTTTATTTCTGTCTTTGTATCCATAGCATCTAGCACAGTGCCAAGCAAATAGCAGGCCCTTAATAAATGCTTATTGACTGATTGATTGAGTTGATTCTATACCCATCATCTCTCATCTCTGCAATGAAGAGGA